GGTCGGGTAAATACACTGGATAGCTACATGATGTAGGTCTTTTGGCAGTTGCCAAGGCCACTTAAGAAGAGGGAAAAGGGTGACGGATTGAAAGGAGGAAAACAGGAAAAAAGTACCGGCAAGGAAGAAAACAAAAGCAAAGAAAGTACTAGCAAGAAAGAAAGTAAAGAAAGAAAAAAGTACAAGCAATAAAGAAAATAAAAGCAAGAAAATCAAGCGGAAAACCCGCCATACGTAGAGGACGTCCAAACTCATAAAGCTGATGCTTAGGCAAAGAAAGCTGAAAGCCAATAAAATGAAACTGATGCTTAGGTAAAGCTGCGAGATCTGAGCTTTACCTATGCATCAACTTCATAAACCCGGAAGCTTTACCTAAGCATCAGCTTCATAAACACGGAAACTTCACCTAAGCATCAGCAAATAGATCCCTGAGCTCTACCTAAGCATCAACTTCATCAACACGGAAGCTTTGCCTAAGCATCAGCAATTTGATCCCTCAGCTTTACCCAAGCATTAACTTCATGCGAAAGTTTTGCCTAGGTATTAGCTGCATAAGTAACGAAGCTTTATCAGCAAAGGGCTTTTCAATTTATGAAGCTGATGATCAGGTAAAGCTTCCGTGTTTATGAAGCTGATGCTTAGGTAAAGCTTCCATGTTTATGAAGCTGATGCTTAGATAAAGCTTCCATGTTTATGAAGCTGATGCTTAGGTAAAACTTCCGTGTTTATGAAGTTGGTGCTTAGGTAAAGCTCAGGGATTTATTTGTTGATGCTTAAGTAAAGCTGAGGAATCAAACTGCTGATGCTTAGGTAAAGCTGAGAGCTTACGGCTTCATCTAAGCATCAGTTGTATCTTACCGGCTTTCAGCCTTCTTCGCCTAAGCATCAGCTTTTTGAGTGGAGACGTCCCCTATTCATGGCGGGTTTTCCGCTTGATTTTCTTGCTTTTATTTTCTTTACTGCTTGTACTTCTTTCTTTCTTTTACTTTCTTCCTTGCTGGTACTGTCCTTGCTTTTATTTCCTTTCTTGATGGTACTTTTTTCTTGTTTTTCTTCTTTCAGTCCATCACCCTTTTCCCTCTTCCTTAAAAGGCCTAGGCAACTGCCAAAAGATCTACATAACGTAGATATTCAGTGTACTCACCCGACGCGTCCCCCTGCCTCGAGCCTCTGCGCGCGAAACCCGCAAATACCATCCCCTTCCCCCACTGGCTATCACAACCCCCTCCCCGCGTCTCGAATCCAGCTCCCAAAAGTGTGCTCATGCATTGCCAGTCCTCTTCCCTCCGCCCTCTCCCTTCTATACTCTCTGCAGTATATCCCCCTCCCGAGCAATTCCCATACCCCGCGCATTTGCGGCAAAATCAGCACACGGATCCTTCTCCCATCCGCCCATCACTCCCTCTCCCCTACGTGGCCACGCCAAGTTCCCACTCAACTCACCCAACCACCCCTTTCCCCAGTGCCTCCGACTCCGCGGTCACCGTTCTCACACAGCAGCCTCCCTCCCACACCCGTCCCTGTACCTTTCCCTACCCTTACTCCCCTTCCCCCGCTTCCTCCATCCTCCTCTTTCCCATCCATCTCCACTGCTCCTACCTTCCCCCGTCCCCCTTGTCCCCCCTCCCAACCTTCCTCTCGTTCGCCTTCCCTCCCCGCCCCCTGTCCGCTTTGTCCCCGTCTTGCTCCCCCACTACAATGTCCATAAACCGGCAACTCGTGCCGCTGCCGGAGCCGGCCGAGAATTTGGAGCCGAGGTGCAGCCGAGATAGCCAAGGCCGGCCGAGGTGGAGCCGAGGCGGCCGAGGGCTAGCCAAGCCGAGCCGAGCTTTAGAAATTACCTCCGCTTGCAGCCTACCATTGCG